TTGTAGTGTTATATGACAGTATTTCATTTGTTGTTTTTGAGCAGAGCGCGAGGTACGTTTTGAAAAACCACTTTCTGTGGGTTTTGTTCAGCAGCATTTTTGCTGCTGTAGGCCACTAGTAAACATTTGTTTATTTTATGGTAAAGATACATTAAGGCCTTCCCAAAACGATAGATTCACAAATTCGGGAAATGTGTGAGTGTCTCCCTCATTCGTTGGCGCTCGCGTGTGTTCGCAGCCGTGCTGAAGGACGTGCCCAGCTCGCCGTTGGAGATGCTGAAGCAGCCCGAGAAGGACGCCGTGCGCATGGGCATGTACCCGAACCTGGACTACAAGAGCGTGTTCACGGCGCTGGTGCAGCTCATGGACGTGGCGCCGCTCATCCAGTTCGGCCTGCACGGTGCGCGCCTGGCGGCTGCGACTAGAAACACTGCCTTACTGTTTGAATTTACAGATTGTATATTCGAATGCACAGATTGTATATTTGAATATACCAGGGCCGGATTTAAGTAGTGCGGGGCCCCAAGCACAAAATTGTGTTAGGCCCCTCCCCCCCGAAAAAAATAGCTCCATCTTTATTAAATAAAAAAATGTATTATAGTACAAGTACTTTCTGTACAGATACAAATGAAAACTGTTAATTTTTGGTCTATATAGGCCTCCTCTTTTGTCCTGAGGGCTCCCATAGCTGTTAATTTGAGCATGAACAATTTTGAGGTTTGCATAAAAAATTTACATATTCAGTTATAAGTAAAGGAAATAAAGTATAGTTAATTATAGACTAATTTAACATGTAATAAATATTTTTAAAAAATGTTTCGAAATTGTACATTTTGTTACACAGTAGCCTACTTGATTAACAATTATTTCAGAGACAAAAAGTATGGTATGCGTATTTTTCCGAAACGCAAGGCCCCTGGTGAATGGGGGCCCCCAAGCAACTGCTTGTTTTGCTTGTAGGTAAATCCGGCCCTGGAATATACAGACTCGTATTATTATATTTCATCTTTACTGATGTTATATATTTTCTTCCTTACTGAAGAAAGTATTATATTTCTGCGTACTTGACAGCAGGGGGTGGAGTAGAGTGATGCCACGTACTCGGGTGGCAGATTCGTGGTCGGGTGGTCGTTCTTGCAGCAGTAGCAAGAAACAAATCGCAATGAATGCAGTGGTTTAGCTTCAGTTCGAGTCATCCGGGCCAAAACTAATGATATCACCCCCCCCCATAAAGTAAATATAAAATATCTATTTCTGAATAGTTTTACATTATTTAATAAAAAACCAATTGTGAATTTGCACATGGAATTTATTTATAATTTATTGAAAAACCTAATGTAATTCAGAATAATTGCAATACTATAGAATTTTCTAATTGTTGTCACCCCTAAATGGTGTCACCTGGAGCGGACCACCCCATGACTTCCCCTAACTACGTCACTGAATGAAAGCACACGACGCATTACTAAAGGCGACAGAGAACTGTACTCGCGACACATAACGAATAAAGTGATGGTGCTAAATGGCGCCTTTCAATTTTCAGTTTCTTCGCACTGTAAGATGAAATTTATTTCTTAATAAACATCGGCAGCTATGCAGGAACGTCGTAACGGTGACGGTAAAATGAAAACGTGAAACTAAAAAACCGAAAAAAAGTTGTCTTTTTGCACATTTATTGCTTAAAAATGTATTTTCGAACAAAAGAGTTGTCGGCAAACCTGATATTCGTGTTCAACGACTCAAAAACTATACGGGAACCAAATTTCTAAACTGCACGAAAACTTTCTTTTCTATCTTTTGACTGGTCTGTATGTCACATTCCGTCTTTTATTTTCAGGGATTTTAAGTTCCTGACATATGCCTATTACCAAAAACATACATTTGCATGAACTTCCCAGAAGTACTGATACGCCTTGTAATGATCGAAGTAGTAACATTTCTCAAAATTATATATGAAGTTTATTTACTAATTTTAAAAAGTATTTATGAAATATTTTGTTAGTTCGCAATGATTGCGCGAGATACGATATTACAATTAAGGAAGTGATCAGGATTTTGCTTTCGGACAGTATAGATGTTGTGTTCAGTCAACGGGATGGTTTCTTGTAATAAGTTTTAAACTGAATTATTGAAAACTAATTGAGATATTGAATGAATTTCGTTTCAATAGAAAATGTTGTTACTACTCTATTTCTGAATAATATGCCTGTATGTCATATGTTTCTAGGATGTGCTGAAGCTCCATGTCCCCCACTCCCCTTGAGCGTTCCACTGAGTCAAATTCATCAAGTGTGATTTGCGGATGGTACATTTCTAGTCATTGCAATCTGTTTAATTCGTTTTGCAGCCTTCGGCAGCGCACTTCTGCAGTGCTTGGGCTGCATGATGCCGTTTCTGGAGTCGGAAATGTTGGAGACGCTGCCGTACTTGACTGCATCTACAATGGCCGTGCTGCCAGTGTCTCTCCACCAAGAAGTAGTGAACTCTCTTTGCTTCTACATTCTACCGTTTACAATAAGTACGTGAGTTTCATTGTAGCTTGGTGTCGCGGATACATTTTATTGCATTTATGTGGCGGTATTCGAAGTACATCCATACATCGTTCAAATATTATTTTTGCGAGCACTTTCACTCTTTCTGAATTTATCCTCGGACACAAGAGAAAGTGTTTTGAAGCAAATAACTTTTCCATGAAATAGCTGTAGTTTGGTTTGAATGAGTTCTAAAATAAATCAGAAATTCGTTCGTCATTTTTAATAAAAGAATTGCGTAAGTTGTACTAATCTTCAGGCTTTTTTCGTTCTAGAGTTTCTGTATATTTAATTGAATAGCAACATAGCGAGAGAAGAAGAGAGTATTCGGCAATAATTTACTTTGAAATCCATGAACAAATATTGTGACATATTATAATATTGCCTGTCAGCTGGTGTATTATTTATCTTTTGTGTCATATAATAGTAATTATTTTTTATTCTTCTTCTCTAGGATAATGTTACTATGAAGCCTGTGATAAATTGAGGAAACTGGATAGGAAAATAGTATATTTTGTTAATTAATTCCATTTCTCATGATATATAATTTTTCTATCTTGAACACGAACTTGAAATTGTCAATCTTCAATAACATACTCTATGTTGGTCACAGTTTAGGTATTATTTCAAAAATACTTTGATTATTTCATAACGAAAACTGGTGATATCGTGTGGAAAAATGTTGCCACATACCTAAAGTATTAATATTTTTAGATAATATGAAGTGAATTAATAGCAAGAAAAAAATGCTCGTGATTCTACTCACAATAAACCGTCAGTTGATTGAAAGAAGTGCATGGAAATCAATTATACCAGTATTACGTTATACTTTATTTTCAAGAATTATAATTAATGAGAAAATTGTTTAAATATGTTGCATCATTGTTTTGTTACATAAGGACGACTTATAACTCTATGTACAGGAATAGTAATGTTTGAGCTATCAAATGTTTTGTTTTGTGCCCCTACGGAAAGAGACCAGAGACGCTTGCGCTAAGCGAACATTTCTGTGCTCTGCAGCCCGGTCCAAGTGCGGGGAGCCAGAGAACTACGCTTGCCAGTCGGTGCCAGCTGTCATCATGATGGTCTTCCAATACTCCTCCAACGCAGGTGAGGGATATCAACTTACGTTTTCTTTGTCCTGTATGAGGGTTCGAAATAAATTACTAGCAACACTGTTGTCGTGCGTAAAAAATTGAGAAGTTTGGTGCTTAATTGAATGAAAGGGGCAGCATTTCAACGTACACATTGCAGCCACAAATGTTCGGTGCCGGTGGTAGGCATGGACAGACCGGGTGATGGCCCGGGGAAGCTAGACAAGAGGCACGATAATGGGAGTGACGGGAAAATATCAGTAAAAAATGTAAAAAGGAATTGAAACTCGAGAATGTCATAATAGTAATTTTATAAGTCGCGGTACAGCAGTTTGATATTTCATAAAAAGTTCAATTAATGTTTTACCTTAAATAGTTAACTGTAATCATTCCTTACAAGGTAGGAGACTTTGAAATGAATCAAATGAAATTAAAATAGGCTCTACTGAAATTAATATTTTTTATTTCATGTATTTAGTGGCTTTAATAAAAAATAACTAAACACAAAAAATGTTTAGCATTTTAAGATCACCGTGGAAATTATATTAATACACTTAAAAAACGATTATATAAAATACATTTCCAAAACCTTTTTCTAGTTGAAACGTAATTTTTGTTAATTGTTGAAATACAATAACTCATAGTTTCTTGATACAACTTTCAAATTTTTATCATTTTCGGGAGGGGGCTACGTTTCATACCAGGCGCAAAATTGTCTAACTGCGGCACTGCAAGTGTGTAAACGCGCGATCACAAATGCATAATTTTATGACATGAAACATCCTACGATGTGAAAAAGGTTCCGAGAATTGAGCTAGGTGAATGTACACGAGATAGAGCAGAATATACGTGGGGGAAAATGTCAAACGGAATCTCATTTGTACTGTATTTTTAAAAATTAATTTGCTTGTTTGAATTTAACAGTAATAAGATCTTTCCACGTTAGATGATGGTCCAAATGTAGTCTTAGGTATTACACTAAAGCACGAACACATCCTTTATTAAATATTGTCACGATGCACCGGCGGGTGTTTCGTGCGTCACTATCATAACGACTTAGTACATTAATGCACCACCGGGCGCTGTTGCGGTGCGCAGCGCACCACTGCCAGCTGCTGGAGTGCCTGATGGCCAGCAAGAAGACGGTGGTGCGCGACCTGCTGTGCGTGGTGGCGTACGGCAGCGCGGCGGCGCGCGCCAACGCCGCCAAGCTGCTCTTCTGCTACTGGCCGGCCTTCAACCCCAGCCTGGGCGAGCGCCGCGCCGCGCCGCTCAAGATCGCAAGTACGTCCTGGCGCCGCCGCGCCGCACCGGTCGCGTCCACCGCGCGCTGCCACAACGGTCGTCGCCATTTCGTGGCCGCCGCCATTTTGGGACCCATTAGCCCCGCCAGGCAGTCCACGGGAATTGGGGAGAAATTATATTATCCGCGCACGTTTTCTTGAGCCCTCATTTCTCTAGATGCTAAAGCAGTGGGGGGTTGATTATTTCGAATACAGGACTATTATATCAAACCTATAGCTCGTTTTTATTTGCAATATATTTACTATTATATAGACCAAACGTTTCTAGTAAGTTGAACTTGCCAACAAGGCTGGTTGCTAACATTTATTCGTAATTCAATTATGTTAGGAGAGAAGTAGGTATTGCCGGGTTCAGGAGAACATGCGTGTATAATAGCATTTCAAAGCATGAGGGAGATTTTTAGGTACATAAAATTAATTTTCAGGTTCGGATTTAAATACTGTTGACCCTCAAAACACAATCCTCTACTGGTGCCACCTTAGGAAAAATCCTTCAGATGTACCAAAAAATATATACCAAATCTTCAAACACTTTTTAAATACATCGTTCTTGTACAGCAGACTATTTTATTAACAATTATTATACAGATACAAACATATATTATGCTTTTCTTGATTATTAATTTTTTCCTAAATGCGAGGTCCCCACGAATAGGAGTTTCCTAAGCAACTGCTTATTTTTTGCTTTTATGTGAATCCGGTTCTACATGCAGTTTACAGGAATTAAGATGTGATAACAATTAAAGCCGTAAGAGAGTTATCAAGAATAATAATCTTAGGGGCTGTCCATAAAGTACTTAACGCACATTTGGAGTATTTTGAAAACCCATTTCCCACTTGTAAAGGACCTGGAACAAGTGCTTGAACCCCCCTCTAATAATTACATAATGCTTGCAACAAGACCTCCCCCATTACAATAAGTAAAAATCAATTATAAAGCAGAAACAATTAGTTATATTATTTGTGTTTGTATCATATATTTATATTTGTGATAATTAATAATTTTAGTCAGAAATAGTTTGCAATGCGGACTGCACATACGAGTATAATTAAGATCGAAAACATTTTTGAATGAAGGAAGCATAGGCCATAAAATTTCTGACAAGCTGTGCACATCGTGGATGACGTATGTGTTTAATGCACTAATTTACTTGGTTCCTAGAATATACCTTGATAATTTTATGAATATTTTCTTCGTAACCTATCACTTCATTCTCCGACGTGGCTAACAAATTCAATCAATTTCTGGCTAACAGATTCAACCAATATATTATTGACGAAAAATATTTACATTTATTGTAACAATTTACGCATCATAACATTTTCAATTTATTATATTCTTAATTTAATATGTTAATATGTAAATATTTTAGTATAAGACAGAATAAAATTTTTTTTCAGCAAATGTTGAAATATTTTGAAAATAAATATCAGCGTTAATAAATAAATATTAGTAGTAGTACATAGATCGCGTGCGATCCTTGGTGATTTTCCTAAGAGGATATTCAAAGCAGTTGTATGCCAGCCTCTTTTTCGGCACAGGCTTCCTTTGAAGCCTATCTATGGCGCGGGCCTAGGGACCTTTCGAGCAGGCACCTTGCTGGCGGTCCCCTGATATGCCTTGGATGTGACTCTCTTTCTCCGCCATATGTTGGTCTCAGTTAATATTATAATTAGATATCCGAACAATCTGATTGGGAGAAAGTGAAATATCCTTTGGGCAGCATATTGTCGGAGGGATTTAATTTTGCGGACATCCGACAGGATTCTTTTACTTGCCACAAAAGTAACCGTGGCCCTTCGAAAATCCACGCACTTAGGTCGGAATCAGATCCTAGCACTGGGGATGCAGAGGCCAATAAGTCCCACACTCACCGAGGTGCGCTACCCCCTCCTCCCTCTTGAGCATTAAGTGGTTTACGGACGACCCCTTAGTTTGGTGGTGTCTGAGAGCGCCCGTGGGGGCGGTGTTGCCCAGCGGACGCGTCGCCGTTCGTGTGCCAGCGCGACCTGTGCCCCAACGCCGGCAACGCCGAGGCCGCCAAGGTGTGCTTCGACCACTGCGTGTCCATCACGTTCGCCTCCGAGAGCCCGCCGCCGCTCTACCTGTGCATCGAGTGCGCCAACGAGATCCACCGCGAGCACCCCAACCAGATGTTCTTCGACATCCTCCACCCCATCCAGCACATCTCCATGGTGTGCGAGAACAAGGTGGGTCCTCATACAACCTTTTCATATTAAGGAAACTAATCGATTACCCGTCATTTCAGGTAGTTAGAACAATTAGGTAAAGCTCAGACCACCCCTCCTTATCCATACATTTCGTTTGTTGGGTTGCTACGATTATCATTGTTACTAACATCATTGTAGACTAATACACTGCGGGTTGCTTACTCGAATTATTTTTGCAATCCACTCCCTTCATATGTCACCCATCCTTCGGGGTGCTAGAGGTGTCATAACTGCATACCACTTTTCTTCCAGATTGTAAGTAATATGTGTAAACATTTTCGTTAAATTCGCTTTATGTGTTGACTTAAATCGGAACATACCCATACACATATTTATAAATGATGTAACATGCCTTCATACTCACATTTTACTTCATACACACAATAATACGTAGGGGCAATATAATTAGGTCCGGTTTTCTGGCACAGACGACAGTTCTGGTGTCTACTTGGAGGAGAGTTTGGTGTTTCGAATTCCTCATGTCTTGGATGTGTCATTCCTTTGTTGAGGCTTGGAAGCCTAAGGTGGAAAATTGGTTATTGTTCTAAAATTTAAGTTTTTAGGGGCTTCTTGTGACATCTCACTTTGTACTTTTTTTGCACATTAAAATACTAGATTAATAACTTTATTCATCTCCATTTATTAATACCTAATCAATATTCATAGAATATATTTGAATTTCCATACTGACCCTTATTTTATACTTGTACTCTTTCCGTGATTGGTAAAATGTCTTTTATTTTACTGGGCTGCGAGTATGTAGTCTTTTATGCAACCTATAACATACTTTATAACATTCCCTCTCGACCTTTCAACCAGAGCACTGTTAATCTGATCGCCGTGAAGACGAAATGGTTGACTATGTTGGGTCGGTGCGCCAGAATTGCAGAGCGGCCGACAAGTACGCCGTGTCCATCTGCTTCTCGACGGAGTGCGCCAGCTACAACAGCAACCACCCCATCCGCTACTGCCAGCAGTGCCACAACATCCGCCACAACAACCGGCGCGGCGGCGACCACATCCTGCACCAGGCGCTGCCGTCGCTGTGGGACGTGGAGGGCGAGATGCACGCCTACATGGTGGAGTCCATCGTCAGGTGAGCTCACGTCCGCGGGGAGCAGTCGCGAAATTAAAATGGTCTTCACTTGCAATTAGGCAATGCCGATAGGAAATCCTGCAAGTTAAACTTAGAAGTGTCTAAAATCTACAGAAGAAGAGCGTATTGATCATATGAACAGTAATGACAGTATGAAAAGTAAACCTTGGAAAATTTTACTCAATAACAAAATTAACACACATTACACAGCATGGTAAAAATATATCAGAGAGTGTTATTAACTCATTGTTAGAGAAAAAAGAAAGAATGTAGGAAAGACAACAGCTTTGGAAAAAAACTTGAAGGATACAAAAATGTTGGTGGAATAATGCTCGTTTGGATGAACAATTCACGTTTATTTTACTTCAATGTAAAAATATACTTGCGCAGTTTCCCCAGGTATCCTCTCTGTGGGGCACCTCCCTAGCGGAGACAAGGTTGATGCTTACTGGTCTCCTGACATCCATGATAAATGTGTGTATGTGCATGTGTGTGAGGGGAGAAAGGGGACACGGATGAAGAAGGGCTGATAGCACAAAGTCTGTAACGTGTTTGTTAGGATACTGCTCCGGAATGCTCATTGTATTGCTAATGATGAAGAAGAAGAAGAAGGTGAAGAAGAAAAAAAAGAAAAAAGAAAAAAAAGGAAAAATACTGATTAGGGCAGCTGGATACTACACACTAAGAAGAATACTTGTTTGTTTCCAACAGTTTTATGTATGTTGCATAGATCGTTATTAAATACGGCTCGAAGAGGAATTCAGCTTGCTGTAAGAACGTGGAAATTTATAGCGTAAATTCACACACAATTAGCTTAATCTAGCATCAGTTCAATCTAATATTTCCCTTTTTTATTCAAACACCCTCATTCCAATTACGCTAATGTTCATGTGTGTTGTAGATACTTTTTTTACAGTGATAGATTTCTTCTCCAGTATTTATCTAGCCATTATTCACCCTAGAAAAAATCGAGATGTTAACAAATACATGTGTTGGGATGATTCTTATTGGTTTGCAGTTTGAGCTCTGACGGTCTCGGAATCCGGACGCAAAAGTAAATAGTTCTCTGAATACGATCACTCTCCAAACCAATGAGAATCATCCTAACATTCGTGTATTTCTTTTCATCAGGATTATTTTTAAGGTGAACGGATGATTTTGTCGAAAATCCGGCACATTAGGACGCGCCTCCTGCAATTGCCTCTTAATAGAAGATTTTGAAACACATGAGGAAAATATGCAGGGTGCTGTACGTTTGCAAAAAATATTGTAGTCAAACAGAAAACGAAACCGATTGAAGACTTCTGAGATGAGAGCATACAAAGTTTCGCGACAGATATTTTTCTGGAATTATTTGTACTCCATTGCACTTCCGATTACCACTTGCGAAGTTTGAGAAAGTTTAATAAGGGACGCTGGCGGAGAATGTTTATGTGCCATGCCACCCATTAATTGGTCCAGAGATGCATTGCGCGCGTGTTTTCAGCCCTGCTTGAAGGAGGCGAAGCCGCGTGAGCCGCCGAGGGCGCGGGGCCTGGGCGCGGGCCGCGTGCGGCGGGGCGGCGGGCGGCGGGGGCGGCGGGAAGGAGTCGGCGGCAGGGCACGGCGCGCGGACGGGCACCGCCGCGAGGAGTATGAAGGAAGGCCGCCGAAGGCAGTCACCGCTGGGCGGCGCGCGGACGCCCGCCAGCCGCCGCGGCCGCCGCCGCCGGCCGCCCCGACCCGCTCGCCCCCCGGCAGCAGCGCCTGCCAGCTGGGCCGCCTACGGCGTGTGGCTGCTGGGGCCTGTGCCCGCCCCCCACCGGAGCGCGCCCCACCCGACACGCTCGCGCAAAGCTTGCTCACCCAGCCTGCTGCCACTTTGGTTCGACGTCACCGCCTCACGCCTTCGACGGTGAGCCCCACGCGATTCGTCCCGATCCCTCTTCGATCCCGACCCTCTTCGTGCCGACCCTCTTACGTCCCGACCCCTCTTGCGTTCCCTACCCTCTTCTTTCCTACCCTCTTTTTTCGTCCCGATCCTCTTCGTCCCGAACCCTCTTCGTCCCTACCCTCTCGTCGAAGACGCCGATTTGAAAGGATGGACTGTTTCCGTCAATCCTTTTTTCTTTTAATACACAACCCATAAAATAATCGTAATATTCAAATAATGACACATAAATGACTTGAAGTTAATTATACAACATAATACAGCTAAACAACAAACAAAAAATGTGTTTAAATTCACTACTATATTACTCATTTTTAATTTTTACAAATTTATGGAAGATTTTAGAAGCAAAATCAAGATTGTAATTGCAATAAAAATTTTGATTTTCTATTTACGTGACATGAGTTTAAATTTCAAAAAATTGCGAGGCATAGCTTAAAAATTTAAGTATTGTTCTTCTAGCTAATACGATAACTTATCAGAAATAATAAGCAACAGAAAAACAAAAAACCTATAAATTTCATAAAATATTTTTTTCTGCGCTTAATGGGATGTGTGTCTCAAGATACATAACCCTATCAGGCCCGGACCAGGAAGAACAATTCTGGCTTTCGATCTCAATCGATACCTTAAACGTGATTTGAACTCCTTTTAAAATATCATTGACCTTGTTCGGAAACCTGGACTACACACACCACACACACACACACACACACACACACACACACACACACACACACATATAACATATTCCTAACGTTCTTTTTAACTTTGTTAGACAAGTTCTCCATTAAGATCTTTTTGCGATATTCGATAATGACGATTCGAGTGGAGGCTCGCCAGGAGCAGAAACAAAATGTTTGTCAAAATTTTCAGATCTCTCCTATATTTTTTCTGCTTTTTCCTTATCTCGCTGTTCTCAATGTCTTATCATCCGCTTTTTTCCATCTGTTGGTGCACACAATGGCATCGTCGAGACTCAAACCTCTAACAAACTACTTTCAACAAAGTACATCATCTGACATATAATTACTTTGAATTTACTAATTTTGTTGGTAATCTTGGCTGAAAGCATCGAAACCGCAAAAAAGTCCGCAAAAAATGCAAAATTGAGATTGTTCTTTCAACTTTTAAGGGACATTTATTATTAATTCAGAATTGTTTCAAATGACACGTAATGGAGCAATTTTTTTTAAAATTGGTAGCTTTTCAGTGTTAGTTCGAAAAACGTTTCTATAATATGTATGTGCTAAATAAGTTTTAACAAATCTTACTAATTCTGTCAATGTTAGATACAAGACCGTTCTTTATAAAAACAGTAAGTTGATCGGGAATACCTGATTACGAATAATACAGTATTACTGCATTTATTTTTATTTGTTATTCGTGACGTATATTATTCTTTCTTTGTTTTTTTATAACTGATCCTCCTTGCCCACTCTCAAATCCTCAATTTCTATATATAATTGTCATTCGTTTTTTTATATAACAAATAAATAAATGAACTTATGTAAATAATACGTTGTTATGTGTATATATCTTTAATGCAGTAGCTAGTTGCATTTGACGTGTTTTGTGATCGGATCCATTTAAAATAAATAACAATAAAATACTAAGGTAAATATTTTTGGAGATAATATTTTGTTCTATTTATATATGTTCAATGACATTTATTGCTCTGAAAAGTAGCGAGCTCGTGAATGCGAATGTTTAATGAAAAAATTGTTAAAACCTGGAAATTACGAGACGATTATTAGTATATTACTCCACTAAACTATTAAAACATTTATACTTCAAAAGTAATGGGGACATTTCGGCGACCAAAAAAATAATCAACTACCTCTGAAACATTCCTCATACCACTTTTCTTAGGGTCTTCTGGAGCTCCGCCTAATCATGCTTGTTCTTTTCTTCCTCAAGGGCAAGTGGAGAGCTCTCAAGAGCATCTGAAGACGGAATACGTGTGTCAGTGGCTGAACGAAGTAAGCAAGGCGCACTTCAAAGTGTTTGTGTCTTGCTTGTTGCCTCATCCACCCGATTACGCCAGGTTGGGTGGTCATTGGTATGTATTAAGAGTAACTTAGATCCCTAGCAGTCGTAGTTTGTGGGAAGTGTAAAAGTTTTTTTACTTAATTTGACTTAATTTATACTATTTAAATGAAAAGTGTTACTTTGCGACTATAGGGATGCGGCAAAGTAGCATTTTCCTGGATTCGTACCGCAAACTACATAAAACCCCTAGTATCACGAAGTAGAGAAAATATTGGCGCGACATGGATTAACTTCGATCAATCTCAAGAGGGATTTTTGTCTTCTGTGTTTGTCTTCCTTTTTATTCCGATCCTTTACCCCAGAAAAAGTCCAATTTTTCTACAAGGAACAATTTTAAATGTCTTTTAGATTTCAATGTAATTCATTCAGACTGTACGAGGTATCTTATAATTTGTACTTAATATTTATTAGAACAGATATGCGTGATACAATTTCAATGATGTACTGTCTTATCCATATGATTCCTTTCGTTGTAGGGACGCTCTGGTATCTCGCACAATTCACTTGAAAGACGGATTGAATCGCCTCTTTTGCTTAATTCCTTATGAAGTTATAACGTCTGAAGTTTGGGATTATGTCATGCCTCATTGGTTAGAAGCTATGGTGAATGATGTTCCAGAGAAAGAGTTGAGCGAGTTGAAAATAATTCTAAGGTAAGTACATTTTATAACGCGAGAGAAAGTATTAAGTATTTGTATTAATTAATCCACTCGTGCTAAGAATCAATCTAACTTACACCTGTATGAGGAACTCAGGAATATGAAGTAATGATCAGTGATACATTGCTAGCATTTGAATACATGGGTCCAAAGAGTGCAATTGACAAAGGGCTTCTAACGAACTTATTCTTCACAATGCTCTGAAATTTCTAGATATCTTTCTCTTTATTATCTTTGACAACCTCCAGCGCGCGGCTTACAAGAAGTTTTCAACTATAGCCTCTGCTTAGATCTAATGTAATATTTCAAAATATAAGTAATATCAAATGTTGAAGGTCTAAATACCTTTTGAAAAGTATAACGTGTTGTAAACAAATTGAAATTATTTTATATTACGATTTAAGCAATTGATTTTTAATTTTAATTTTTGTGTAATGACTATGATAGACATGGTAATTTATTAATTTTAATGAGTGAACTATATATAATGCTTAGGATGAATCAGGTTTAGTTACTAACCATAAGCAAACGAGGAACAGAATGAGCTCCTGGTGCCAAGACGTTGGTTAATGACGGAAACCACGTTGAAATGGGGTTCCATTTTGGGGACTATTTAAAATGTCCAAGATATATTTTGACAGTTCACGAACAAACTCGACCAAAACTAATTTTGTGTGAGAGGCAAAGTACTCAGTGCTGTGTGGACGATTGAGACAATGCTATTGGAGCTGTCGTCGATTGTGAAAGTAACTACTGAAAGTTACTTAGCGATAGTTTTAGTATGTGTTATTGTTAATATCATGAGAAATTGAAAACTCTATGTTTCAGCAAAATGCTAGATGCTGATATGAGTCCTTTAGGATTCGACTCCAAGAAACTCTACCGCTTTGTTGCAATACGATTCAAGAAGAGTTCCGTAAAAATTCAGAAACAAGCATTGAACTGGTTGCAGGTAACGTCTTCGTTGACTGTTAAAATAGTTTTCTAGAGAAATATTTTTGTATGGATTCTTTTTTTGTAATTTAGTATCTGAATTGTTGATAATCCGGTCTCTGCATTGTTAACAGGTGTTGACTTTGTTAGATATAGTTATTCCCCTTGATTTGCTGTTCAGCATGTTTAACGATGGAATAACTATTATGAAAGACAACAACAAAGAAGAAACTAAAAAGTCAACAAACAATCTTAAAAGTGAAGAAAGCGATGGAAAACGCAGTATATGTACGTTGGAATTGATACTTGCTGATTAAATAAAACCATTTTTTGTGTATTACCTAGTGTTTATGTATGTTTTGTGTGTGTGTAACAGCTCCAGTTATCGAGAATGAATCCGCTAATGCATCGGAACTGTCAGATGATGAAGCCCCATTACCAAAACCAGATGAACTTACCACTGATAACGAAATTCACCTGGCCTGCGCCATTTTAATGTTAGATGTACTTCTGAAGCAAGTAAGTCCTTTATTCATGATACAGTAGAAAATTGCAAACCCGAACCTCGTAAATCCGAAATTTCGGATAATACAAACAAAGTTATGGATGGAGGAAACAAATAAAATGCTTATTGGTAGTGTAAAGAAAGGACTTTATAATTACTGTAGAACTGAGCAACTAATTATTGAAACACAAGTTGTCGAAATGAAATGTTTATTGAAGTGATAACTACGGTGTATATCACATGTTTATGTACCAGTAATTTTTACATAGAGGAACTTGCAAAATCGGTAATCTTTTATCGTAATGAACTGAATTCGCCTGATCATGCGATTGCTACGTGACATTGCCATTTTCTCACATCGCACGCTGTAATCCTATAGATGTATTTGTATATGTACGGTACATTTTTTCGGGTAATGCCCACATTTCCGAATCCGAACAGACCACACCCCCTATTAGTTTGAATTACCGAGGTTCTGTATTTCATGCTTTGCCTATAACATAATAAATAATATAATATTCCATAATTTCCGTTGTTTCAAACAGAGTTTATACACGAGTCATGCAAATATGCAAATAATTCAGTTTATTAAACTAGTATTTACATATGTAGACGTAAGCTTCCGGGGCTCGAATCCATAAATTCTCGGCTATCCGGGAGACGCCGCGTCGTTGGCTGGGAGGCCGACGTTTCGCCTGACATGTCGCAGGCTTCCCCAGGGCAGTGACTTGGCCACGTCAGATAGACGGATAGCCAAGAATTTATAGTATTTACATAAGACTCTCTGCGTTCTTTTTTTATATAATTTGAACGCCGACGTTTCCGAAGTGCGTTTCAAGTTCATGTACTGTTGCGACAGTTGGAGCTCCAAGAAATAGAAAAGCACAGCGGCATCCACACGTCGCTCTCGCAAGACGTGTGCCGGCTGCTGAAAGGGATGTTGGACATCGCCTGGTCCGTTGGCCACACGTGCTCGTCCATCGACGACTGCTTGTTCTGTGAATCGTGCGTAATATGGTATCAGCTCACTCTCAAGTTGGTGGAGTTCTTGGTCCCAGAGCAGCCAGTTCATCTCCCAGACGTGAGTTTTTTTTTTTGGTTCAGTCACTGTTTAATGAGGCAACACGTTTCTCGTTAAAAATATTTTCTTTGAGATTTTTATGTTTAACTAATCTTATAGTAGTTATTATGACCATATTTGGAATATATTTTATTGAATGTTATTAAATGTCTTCAAGAATTTTGTAAAGAAGAGAAGGAGAAGGAGACGTTTTGTTACTCATGTTAAATAAAAAAATGTTACATTAAAGATTAATTTAATCACTGATTGTGACAGCAGAAAAGGCTCTCAGTTTTATTTATTTATTTATTTATTTATTTATTTATTTATTTATTTATTTATTTATTTATTTATTTATTTATCGTCAGAGTTGTGTTGCGAAGACACAGCCTTTTCCCATAGTTCTACACCCGTGCATTCGACGCAGGCTACCTTTGAAGCATATCCCCGGCGAGGGTGTCTTTCATTCAGGCGAGCCCTGTGGGCGTTCCCCTGAAGCTCGTGTGTTTTTGAAAGTGGGTTTTCACTTTCAATTTTTCCGCCAGCTGTCTGTCTCAGTTAATTTTATCCCAGCTACCTGGTTGGGAGAACGAGAGTTTCGTTAGGACGAGGAATTGCCGGGGCATTTAATTTTGACGGACACCCGTCAGGGTTCATTTACATGCCGCAAACGTGACGTGGCCCCTCTAGGGATTTTCTGCCCTTCATAAATGCACGCGCCTCCGCCAGGATCGATCCCGCACACTGCGTGTCCAGAGGCCAGAAAGCTAACCACTCACCCGGCGAGGCGCGCAGCCATCGGAATAACAAAACCGAGGACGGCCCTGATAGCCTAGGTCTGTAGAGCCGTAGCTGCCTCGTGCTTCAAGGATCGTGGGTTCGAATCCCGCCGGCGGTTTGTGTGCCCGTATAATGTTACCGTTACTCCCTATGTAACTTACAGCGGTCTCTACATGACCTTGTTAGTTGAAAAGCCACTTCAAATGCGCGGCCATGGTGTAATGGTTAGCGTATCGGGTATTATACCCAAGTTCGCAGGTTCAAACCCGCGTGGATTTTTAAGGGCGAAAAAATCCTTTGTACGCCTTCATTCGGAGGGGAAGTAAAGCCGGCTGTCCCATGTTAATAGATTTACTTGCATGTTAAAGACCAAGAAGCCTAAATGACGCCTCTGAGCCAAATTTCCTCGACCGAAATACCTCCTTTCTCCGCTAGTTGGTGAAAGGAGCGTAGCGAATTTTACGTGGTCAGAGGGAAGAGCAAGTGTCATGGCATGAGTATCTCCACGTAAAATTAGGCATCAATCCAATTCAAATTTTAAAAAACCTTCGAGAAGTGCGCTTGCCCGCCAGCGCGAGCGCTAAGCTGCCTTGCGCGGCAGGTGCAGAGCGACGACCTGCTGGGAGAGGACGGCGGCCACGGCAAGAGCCCGCCCGAGGCCGACAAGAAGGCGGAGCCCAAGCCGGACGTCGTGCTCAACATGCCCATGCCCGAGATACACAGCGTGGGCGGCGTCCTCGTCAACATGCCTCACGTAAGTGCCTCACGCCCCCTCGCGCCACCTTGCGGAACGCCTCGCGTGGGTTCGCGCCCGCAAGGCCCCACGCGCTCCCGCGGGCTTTCGTGGTCGATGCGGGCAGTGGCGTAGCTTAGGGGCGGGGTCAATTGATGCAACCCTCCTGGAATATGCGTGTTTAGGGGAGTTGAACATGTTCGAGGAAATAAAACATAACTGTATAGACTCAGTTGAGGAGGGTTGGTTGGTTTAAAACATGATCAGAGTATTGTGATGTGCGCTAATGTTTCGTCGTAAAGTTTTATTTTAATAAAAAAAACATAAAAACCTTACATTAACAAAAATAATAATTTGATAACAAATCTTATATTGACTAAAAAGCGTATTTTAAGCGACTAAAAAGCATAATTTAAGTTTTCATTTTAACAAACATTTACATTTAAAGAAAATTATGTAAGCTACAAAAATTCAAATTAAACAAGGAAACCCGATCACTTTGTTTTATTAAAAGGCTGTTTTTTCACCCCTGGTTTAAGTGTTGCATAATTTACGAAGAATCCCTAATCTCCTTAAATTCACTAAACGGTTAAGCGGTAAAGTAATTTTAAGCGTCTAAAAAGCGTAGTTTAAGTTTTTATTTTAACAAACAAAAATATTTAAAGAAAATTATCTAAGCTACAAAAACTTGGATTAAACAAAGAAACATGATCACTTTTGTTTTATTAAAAGGCTGTTTTTTACCCCTGTTAAATTATTGCATAATTTACGAAGAGTCCCTTAGTTCCTAAAGCTTCTGCCTCTTCAGATCTTCTCGACAACCCCATTCGAGATTTGCAATCCAGCTATCAGATTCACGAGAATATTTCTAACACAGTGAACGAATTTTCGCGTAATTCGCTTTGGACCAGTTCATCTTCGGTAACATTACTGAAATACTGACTTGATATAAACAGAATTTTCGGAGAAAAACCATTCGGCACGTGAAGTAGTTCCATAATAGAGTGGCTGTTAAGAAACAAGTAATAAATAACGGATGTGCCGAAATATCCCGTATCTAAAATAATGTTCAATAACTTATACTTCAAGTTTCAATTAGGGTATTATTTGAATACTCTAATTATATTAGACCCTCTTACTGATTCCTCACGTTGCGTCATGAAGGGTCTGAATGGGTGTTGGTAACATTGTTGAGAAATGCGTTTGTCCCTTGCCCTTCTCCTTGTGTCATGACTCGCTGAAGTACGGTTCGATTAGTGAAGTTTCGCATTAATAATAAAATAACATTAAAGCAATTTCATGTTTTCTTGATGACTTGAATTGTTGAGAGTCCGACTTCAATTTGTAAACAATCCCAAATTTTTGTTACGACACAAAATCGTAGTATTTTCACGGTTTCATTTTAAAACAAAATTATAGTATTTTCGCAATAAATGCGAAAATCTCGAGAAACTTATTAATAATTTTAAAAAATGGATATCTCCATGTGTAAATGCATAGAAGAAAAGAAGGAAAATCTAGAGGTTATTTATTCATGTTCATCAAAACCTTAGACATTAATTTTCAGATCCAATCTCTCCAAAAAGTTTGAATGTCGACGAATGAATGAAGAAATGCAGAACATTATCTATTCATTTACATCTCGTGGAGATGCAAACACCGAGTTAAATTTATTTTATTCACAATATTTAATGTTCTTCTGCGAATCATGAAGTGAACTTTATGTGTTTGTAACAGTTAAAGCGAATTAGAATAGTTGAAGACACTTCGCATTTTGTTTCGTGTGATTCTTGCAGTTACATATGACAAGGTCGCCAGCACGGGTCCAATGTTGTTACTTACTTCATTGACATGGGATTTAAATGTAAGGGTTGTTGAAATACTTTATCGGAAGTTATATGATTCTTGGCCGTTCTCTTCTTTCTGGAAATCAATTCCAGAAAGTTATTCCAGTTTGTGTATCTACCCTCTTATAATTAAAAATTTAATTAAAATGTAATTTTAGATTATTTTAACCCCAATTCTCGAAATCAAAGCGAAACCAATGCAAATTTTTAAATCCTTTTTCTCGAAATCAAGAAGATATAAGCATGGAAATGTAATTCTTCTACTTACAATCATTCAAAGTCAAAAGTAGATAGAAGCCTCAATCTACCCAAAATTTGAGGTGAACGCTTCCTTGGATCAACACGAACCCTGAACATTCTATACCCATCATTATCATCCTCACACCCACAGCCGTCTTCCTCAGTCATTTCCGTCATCGCTAATGTCACCGCTCGCTTCATCACCTCTTGACCATCCAGTTCTTTCCTAACCAACTAAAGATCCTGCTTCAGGGTTATTCATTTCTCAAAGCGGAAACTTAAAGGGTGATACAAGCTACGCCACTGCATGCGGGTCTTAATTGCTTTAAGTATGAGGCAAAATTATATGTGTAAATTCTTTTTGATATTTATGCTATCGATGTCTACTAACTTCCTTTTATCTTT